AAATCCTTTGCATAAGTGAATAGGTGGTGCTGAACACTACCACGTGGCTGTTATAAAACAATATAAAGAATTTACATCACAGAAAAATTTAATCAAAATCTTTATATATCTTTGCATCCCTGTTATGGTTTAGATATGAGGTGATGCCCAAAAGCTCTTGTGTGAAAAATACAAGAAAGTTCAGAAATGAAATCATTGGGTTATGGGAGTCTTAACATAATTAGTGTGTTAATCAGCTGATAGGGATTAACTGGGTGTAACTATAATCAGGTAGAGTGTGGCTGGATGAGGTGGGTAATTGGGGGAGTGCCTTTGGGATTGATATTTTGTCCCTGGTGAGCAGATCTCTCTCTCTCTCTCTCTCTGCTTCCTGTTGCCATGGCCTGAGCTACTTTCTTCCACCTCACCCTTTACCATAATTTTCTGCCTCACGTTTAGTCTAGAATAACAAAATCGTCCATCTATGGACTGAGACCTCTGAAATCATGAGCCACAAATAAACATTCCCCCCCCCCCAAAATTGTTCTTGTCAGGTATTTTAGTCACGGCAGCGAAAAAGCTGACTATAACGGTCCGGTCCCTATTCCTTTTCTGGACAGCCTAGCAATGTTATCACTTCCCTCCCTTCCTTGTCCCAAATTTGGCCTCTGAAATTCCTTTTATTTGCAAAGAAATTCAGCTTAGTTTCTCAGCTAGTATAGCTCTCTCAAAACAAAAGCCCTTCCTTCAGCTGGAGGAATTGTCCTCTTTGAAAGTAGGACAGTGGCCATCTATTGTTATTCCACAGGCACTGGCTGACAACTGCCAGCCTGGAATGGTTTCCCCCTTTACCCCAGATGATCTATTAGAATATTTGTAAAGCAAAACAGGGTGGTGGCAGGAGAGGGCATAAGTGAGGAGAAGCAAATACAATAGCTCTGCTAAAAATTGATTGTCTCCATATTACACCTAATTTATAATATTAGGTGATTAAATGTTCCAAAGAGCTATTATATTTAAATAAGTGCCTAATTTACTCCTAAATGGAGATTAAAAACTGTTTTAAAACAGATTTGTTTATTTTTTTATAATAAGATAATTCCACATACCACAAAATTCACCATTTAACAGGGTACAATTCAATGGTTTTTCATATAGTCACAATCACTAGCACTATATTTATTCCAGAACATTTGCATCACCCCAAAATGAAACCCCTTACTCATTAGCAGACATGTCTCATTCCCTCCTCACCCCAGCTCTTGGCAATCACTAATCTACTCTCTGTCTCTATGGATTTTCTTATTCGGGACGTTTCATAATTTGATACAATATTTGGTCTTTTGTGATTAGTTTATTTCACTAGCACAATGTTTTCAAGGTTCATCCATATTGCAGCATGTATCAGTACAGCATTCCTTTTTTTGTGGATAAATAATATACCATTATATTGTAGGAGACCAGAATATGCCTCCCTAAAATATGAAGGACTATTGAATTGAGCAGCAGATGCAGAAAATCTTTCTGCTCTGTTTGCCTAAAAGCAGGATATAAAATTGTAAAGATATTTCCCCTCCCCTCTCTACCAGGAAGGACAGACATTTATCACTGGAGATGACTATGGGCCCTTATCTGATGGTAGCAGCATGAGAGGAGTCTATATGACAAACCTTACTAACTAGACCTTATCTACTCTTAGTTCCCTATATATTTACTTTCCTACTTCTGGAAGCCTAAAACTGCTTTCCTTTATCTTATCAGTTCTTTAAGATTTGCTGTTCTTTGTTGAAGATGCTATAGGAAGATGCTATAGACACCTCATTGTGAAACCATAACAGTCATCTTAGGGGGTGTAAAGTGGTGTCTTATGGTTTTGATGGGCATTTCCCTCATAGTTAATGATGTTGAGCATCTTTTCATGTGCTCATGTCTATTGGTATTATCTTTTTTGAGGAAACATCTGCTCAAACCACCTGTGCTTTTTAAAAATGGGGTGGTATCTTTTATGTTGTCCTGTACCAGTTCTTTTTTTATTATAGATACAAATCCCTTACTGGCAATGTGATCTACAATCCTGTTCATCCATTCTGCAAGTTTTTCTAAAGGGTGATTTATATTTATACAATACTTGATTTTTCGGGGGTTAAAGCTTTGTCTTTCTCCAGGATTTCTTCGAATTTAGAAGAATCAGGACTCACAGCACACTCTAGAGAGAGCAGGTAGGAGAAGGAAAAAAGAACAGTGTCTAGCAGAGAGTAATGTGGTCAATTAACTTCTGCAAATGAATTAATAAAGTCTCTGTATTTATTCATACCAGTACTCTGACTTGTGTTCCTCTGCTGGACTTTGAGCGACGGTATTCATTTCATGGCTTAGAGGTCCCTGGGGAGGTGTGAAGTTTTGGAAAGGTGTACTTGCTTCCGTGTTCATCCTCTAAACTATGTGTTTACTCCACAGATGCGCTAAAGCATAACCACTGCCATATGGGACTCTGCAGGTTTTTCATACAAAGAAGCAGTTTTGTGTTCTGCTCTTTGGGTTTGAGAGTCGCTGACTTAGAGAAAGAAACAATAGTGTTGTCGTCTTGATGTTGACTCTCTAGAGTGTTTTCAATTTGGCTTGGACTTTCATATCCGGGATGTTTATCTGGAGATTCATTTAGGAGATTTCACACTTACTTCAGTCCTCCTGACCCAGGAGTGGTTCCGTCTGTGTGACTTACCACCCATTGACCAGGGATGTAGCTGTAGGGGGATGGATCTAAGGTGTCAGGGAGGCAGGCCACTCTGCCTATTGCGTCAGCTGAACCCTCTGGAGACCTTAGGACTTAGAGACAGTCCTAGTCAGGCTGCCTACATTTACATATCACTTATAAAAGTCTATCAAGATCATTTTGCAAATGAAGTTTGACATAATCCACAGTACATTTGTCAAATCGCAGGAAAAATCAGAATGATTCAAAAATGGGTAGATTCAAAGGACTTCTAGTAGAAACTATGAAACCAAAGAAGGAATAAGTGTGAAGGAAACATGGTGGGTAAAGGAAAAAGAACAAAGAGAGGCAAGGCACTCGCTTGTAACTGGATATAAACAAGAATCTAACTTTACACAGGCAGCGCTGACTGCTAGTGTTACTCAGCTCAGTTACCCATCTGTTGTACTCGGCTGAGATGACCCTGGGCATGTATATGACACACATATGGATGCAGGCACTTGCTGACCACTGAAATATCCACGTGGTTATGAACATGTAAACAGTCCCATCAGCGAACAGGGAATTTTTAAAAATTAGTTTACAGAGTATCTTAGTCAATTCTAGTGCTGCTATAACAAAATACCTCAGACTGGGTAATTTATAAACAAAAGAAATTTATTACTCTAAGTTCTGGGAGCTGGGGTGTATAAGCTTAAGGTGTCAGAAGATTTGACATCTGGTAAGGGCTTGTTTATTGATTTATTTTTTAATAGATGGAGCCTTCTATCTATGTCCTTACATGGCAGAAGAGGCACATAAGCTCCCTTGACCTCTTATATGAGGCCCCCGATTCCATAGTCATGATATAATCACTCCCCAAGTTCCACCTCTTAATACTGTTACATTGGGGATTAGGTTTCAACAGACCCCAGTATGTTTGGGGCGTGCAAACATTCAGACCAACAGTTCATATGAATATGATTATTATCTTAATCTGGTTTAGAGAAAACAATTTCTAAATCTAAATAGCCATCTATAATATAATATTGTATTTATGCAATTCTTTTTCTTCCCCCATAAATGTAAGCATTTTTAAGATTATGTGATTGGTCATTATTCCAATACCCACTACAAAGGAAAGAAGCTGTTTTACCTATTGACTCAAGGCTCAGAAGCAGATTGACCCTGTTCTGGATGAGCAGAAAAAAAGGTCACTGATATTTAGACAGCTGAATGGAGCTAGGATGTGAATTAGGCATTTCACATACATAAATTTTTTTTAACCCCCGGAATAACCCCATAAGGGGTTGTTGTTATCATTTTATAGATTAAAGAGAATTGCCCAAATCATTGAACTAGTAATGGTAGAACCAAACCACATCTGTCATAGTTTACAGCCATATTCTTGGAGTTATGACATGTTTTATTTGCCAGTTCCAATTGAGGGCTGTTGCCTTTAAGGATGGGGGGAAGGAGTCTAAGCTCATGCTCAGTTACTCTGTCCCACGCTGGTAGGAATGGGATAGAAACATCTAATGCAGAACCCAAAACATAGCAGATGAGTGCATTTGTGATAGGCTTCATTTCTAAGGGACTGAATGGAGGTTTTCATTAGAGAAGGGTCTGTATTTTGAGGGAGCTAATGACAGACTCTGCAAATGACAGACTCTGTTCCTCACAACTGCATTTTTACAATACTTTCTCTTCTCCTCCCCTTTCTGCTGAAAGTATGATACTAGCTATGATTAATTTTCTCATCCCCCTTCCCAGCTCTCCATATCTGCCTGTATCTTCATTCTGTAAAAGGGTCTCCTTCCTTAGAATGACATCCTCCCTCTATTTGAAAGGTAAACAACCTTCATCCAGTGAAACATGGAGTGCAGCACAAATTCATTTCTGGGGTTAGTGGCCAATGAACATATGACTGGCAGGTCGGTATTTCTTGACAAGGACATGACAGCTTTGATCACCACAGACAAAGGCAGGATCAGTGATAATCTTATAAAAGGATGAAAACATTTAACCAGATTTATACACAAACCACACTATCTCTTTTAGTTTTGTGAATGACAGTATTCTGTTTTTTACATCAGTGTTTAAATGTTCAGTTTTCAGGACTGGATTGACAGATTTAAACCTCTGATTTTTACACATTAAAAAAAGAACCTTCCATTTTCTTTTGCAAATTATAGCTATCATTTGTCTTTATTAGGTTTCCACATACATAGAAACATCAGTCTCCCAGAAGCATCTCAACAGGTCCATTATTTTGCAGTGATACCTGTGGGAGCCTTCGGTTCTGAACCCCAGTTAGCTCCAGACTTACCACACCACTTCACTTTCCAGTTACGATTGGCATCTACTCCACGGCAGTGGAACCTTAAGTTCCTTGACCTTGTTTTTCTCCAAAATCGATCCTACATAATTAAGAAAATAGGCAGAGAGAAAAATACTTAAAAGATTATTCACATGCATTTTAGTAGCTCAATCAGTGAAGGTGTTGCATTACTGAGGAGAGAGTTCCTCCACCAATAGATGAGCCTGGAGAGTGGACAGAGGACCGGATTAGCACTAGAGACCCAGGATCATGCTCCAGTCTCTACCATGAACCTCCTGCCTCCTACTGGTTCTTGGTTTCATTTCTTTACAGGCAACACTGAATGGGTTGGACTAGACCAATGATTTTTTTCATGATTTATTTGGAAGGAGCAGTTTTTATTTACATGAAATCTTACACAGAAGCAAGATATGAAAGTGAAATCAAAAGGCTGGTGCTCTGATTGGCAAGGAAGTGAAGACCCCTTCTGCATCTCTGGAATCACTTAGTGAGCTGCCCACTGAGGCACCTTCCGGTCTATGATTGTTTTCTATGACTTATTAAGTCCTCTTTTCAACCAGATAGGCGAAGCGACTTACATGTGTCCAGCTATAATGGTATCCATCAACATTAAAGACAGGCATGATATAGAAATACAGATGTTTTAACATTTTTCTCATGGCTGCATCACTCCTATATGTTAGAAGGGCCTAAAAGACAAAGGAGACATTTTTCTTATAAATTGATCCCAAATACAGGTTTAGGGACAAAAAAAAAAAAAAAAAAAAAAGCATGAGAAAACCTTTCTATCCATATGAAATACCAAATACACTGGTTAAAAAATAGCAAGTTACCATGAACTATATTCTTTGACATCACACATTCCTTATTGAGACTTTGGTCTGAATTAAATTCTTTCATATCAATAATAATAATAATTTATCAGAGCTGGTAAAAACCTAATAAAGCGAGGAACCTCTTGCAATATTACAGATCTGACCAAAGTTTTAGGCTGATGAAGAAAGTAACAATTATAGACATGCCTTCTTATGATCAGTTCATTTCAAATTCCTTTTAGTTGTGAACAAAATAATCAATCTGTGTATATTTGATGTACTTACATGATATATCATAGCACTTACTAGTTATATGTCACTTGATTGTTGATTGTTTATGTCTAATTGGTACCAAACTCAAGCTTTGGAACTCAGTACATAGAAACTCTATTCTTTGTTCTTGACTTTTCTTTTTTCTTTCTTTTTAGTCGTATTAAGTCCCCCCCCCCATTTTTATTGGTGTATTACTGATGTACATAATGATGATATTTGTTGTTACATATTCATACATGCACACAATATAACAATATGTAATTTGGCCAATATCACTCCCTGCTCCTAACTTTTCTATGAAAAGTTTAATGGAGAGTAGACATTTTGTCATCTTAACTGTGGCTTCTTTGAAGTCTTGTTCTGGTGATGTCTGATTCCCAAGTCTGAAGATTCTACACTGAAGATGTAGACTCATAGAAAAGCACAGCATGTACTGAATCAAGTTGGTGAAAGAGACATTTGAAATTCCCTGCTCTGGAATGGACTTATTTAAAAGTTCTTTTTGATGCATGTTTGTCTATGTGTAGAATATTCTGGAAGAACACATAGGAATTTTCTAACTACGGTTGCCTTTAGGGAGACAGACTGGAGGACAATGTGTGAGAAGGAGTCTTACTTTTCACTTAAATTTTGTGAATTTTTACCAGATTAACAGCACAATTCAAAATAGTTATTTACAAAAATAAACCCTCCACTTTATTGAGGTCTGATTGACACACAAAACCTGTATATATTTAAGGTATACAACTTGCTGAATTTAGAGATAAGTATATTCTTTAAAATTTTTTTTAGTTGTAGATGGACACAATGCCTTTATTTTCTTATGTGGTGCTGAGAATCGAACCCAGTGCTTCACATGTGCTAGGCAAATGCTCTACCACTGAGCCACAACCGCAGCCCAATAAGTATATGCTTATGAAACCATCACCACAATCTACCATACAAATATATTCATCATCTCTCCTGCCTTCTTTATTTATTATTATTTTTGTGTGGTAAGAACACTTAATATAAGGTACACCCTTTAAAATTTTTTTAATTTGTTCTTTGTAGTTAAATATGACAGTAGAAGGTGTTTTGACATATACATACATGGAGTATAACTTCCCATTTTTGAAGGTACACCCTTTTAAATATACAATACAGCATGGTTGACTGTAAGCACTATGCGGTACCCAGATAAATCTCTAGGACTTACTCATTCGGTATAACCCAAACTTTGTCTTTGTGCCATTTGACAGTGCTTCTCCATTTCTCTCTTCCAATTTAATCCTTGAAAGTTCAATCTTCTTTTATATCTATGTAAGTAGAATTTCTGAGATTATCATAAGCCATATTCTGTATATACGTGGTAAGAATTTTGTTCATAGGGAGAACTCTATTAATAGACATTTTTTAGAAACAATCACTGTTTTAAGTAATGAAATGGGTATACTCTCAAAACATGAGTTAAATATCAATTTCATTACATAAGATTTCAATATCCAAGAGATTGACCCAATTTGATAAATATTAATTTGGTCCTTTCTTGTTCTCTTTTTAAAGGTTCGATAATAATCTGTTGGTCAACTAACTTCAATAGAACTTCCATGTGTGAACATTTAAAAATTTTTTTTTAGTTATAGATGGACACAATATCTTTTTACTTATTTATTTTTATGTGGTGCTGAGGATGGAACTTAGTGCTTCACACCTGTGAGGCCAGTGCTCTGCCACTGAGCTACAACCCTAGCCCTTACGTAGGAATATTTTTATTTACTGAATTTCTATTAACTGTCTAATGCCTCAAACTAGAGAGAAGGATCTGGTGTGTGGTCACTTGCACACATTCTGGAGTTCTGTTTTCCTCTAATAAGCAGAGATTCTTCTGTACTCTGAGGACATCTTCTGCTGGGGACAGCAGGGGCACAGATACACAGTTAGTGACATTCTTCCCTCACCATTTGGCAGCTTTGGCTTCCCATGCCGCTCTAGGAAAAAAGAGAAGAGAAGGGAGGAGAAAGGAGCTGGGGCAGAGAGGCAGGAAAGAGGTAGTAGGAAAAAGTCATGGTAATTTTTCTCCTTCTCTTCTCGTATCCGGCAGAGGAGCCCACTTGTCCAAACTGGTGAGTCCAAACTCCCATCTTTGTGAGCACAGAGAGTTTAGTACTTCTGTGGCAGTATCTGCTAGAGATCTGTGTGGAAATTTCTCACTTTATGCTGTCTTCTCTTTCAATGCAGGTCATCGTCATATCTTTATATTGAAAAGAATAGATCTAGCTTCCTTTTATTTTTTTTAAAGTAAATTTTACCGTGTATATTTAGGTTGACAATAAGATGTCACACACACACGCATACAAACATACGTGGTAAAGTGGTTTCTATAGTTCAGAAAATCTATCATTTCACATAATTACTTGTGTGAGCAACTGCCTGTTTGATTAAAAAAAAAACTCAAATACAATTTCATTAACAATGGTCTCATGTTGTATCTGCTATTTTTGTGTGTGTGTCCTTTGATCTACTCTCTCCATTTCCTCTCCCTACCCCCTGATCACCACTGTTTTATTCTGTTTTAGATTTCAATATATAAATGAGATCATGTGATATTTTTCCTTCTGTGTCTGGGTTATTGCACTTGGCACAGTGTTCTCCAGGTTGATCCATGTTGTTGCAGACACCAAGATCTACCTCTTTTTGAAGACGGAATAGTATTCCATTTTCTGTATTCATTTTTTTTTTCTCCCACAGATGCTAGTGTTGTTTCCAGTCTCTTAGTTATTATAAAAAAATGCCACATTGAACATTGGAGTGTGAACATCTTTGTGTGTGGTTGATTTTCTCCCCTTTGGGTATATACCCTGAAGAGGGGTTGGCAGGTCATATTCTATTTTTAATTTCTTTTGGAACCTTCATGCTATTTTCCCTAGTGTCTATACCAGTCTATATTCCCACCAACAGTGTACTATACTAGAGACTAGCAATGTGCTTCCTCTAAGTGTTGTCACCAAAATTTGTTATTTCTACTTGGAATGGAACCACCATCTGACCCAGTTATCCCACCCCTTGGCATATCCCCAAAGGATATATATCAGCATACTACAGTGATGCAGCCACATCAATGTTTATAGGAACTCTATTCACAATAGCTAAGTTTTGGAACCAACCTAGATGCCCTTCAACAGATAAATGGATAAAGAAAATGTATATATACACAATAGAATATTACTCAGCATTAAAGAAGAATGAAATTATGGCATTTGCCCATAAATGGATAGAACTGGAGACTATCATGCTAAGTGAAATAAGCCAATCCCAAAAAACCAAAGACCAAATGTTTTCTCTGATATGCAGATGCTGACTCACAATGGGGGAGGGGGAGAAAAGAATAGAAGTTCATTGTATTAGACAAAGGGGAATGAAAGGAGGGGGGGGGTGATGGAAATAGGAAAGATAGTAAAATAAATCGAACATAACTTTCCTGTGTTTATATATGAATACATGACCAGTATACAACCATGAGGGTGGATCCTAATTAGAAAAAGTTATACTCCATGTATGTACAATATGTCAAAATGTACTCTACTGTCAATATATATGAAAAGAAAAATTAAATAAATCAATACCAGCGGTGACATAAGCAGTTGGTCTCCTGGTAGGGGGGGTGAGGCACAGTCACCCGAGTCTCCTCAATTTGTCCTCGAGCCAGAGGGGAGGAGCCGGGCCGCCGCCAGCGCCCGGAGCAGGCCCAGCGGCTCACCAGCGTGGTGACCGCGTGACCCCAATTGGAGAGGGGGCGGAGCGGAGCTGCCACCCACACCCGCCAGGTGGGCAGACCCGCGACCCAGTGGTACATGGGCGTGGTAGGAGGGGCAGGGCAGAGCCGCCCTTCGCGCTTGCAAGGTAAACAGACCTGTGACAGCCTGGCGGGTCAGGCCCAGTGGCCTGCCAGTGTGGTACACACGTCACCCCAACTGGAGTAGGGGCAGAGCAGATCCTTCTCCCATGCCCGGATCAGGCCCTGCCGGTGTGGTGGTCACGTGACCCCAATTGGAGTGGGGGCGGAGCGGAACCGCTACCCGTGCCCGCAGGGTGAGCAGACCAGTGATCAACCTGCAGATCAGGCCCAGGGGTCCGCAGGCGTGGTAGGAGGGGCAGGGCAGATCCGCCGCCCGCGTCTCCAAGGTAGGCAGACCTACAACAGACCGGCGGATCAGGCCCAGGAGCCTGCCGGCGTGGTACAAACACCACCCTAATTGGAGTAGTGACAGAGCAGAGTCGCCTCCCGTACCAGGAACAGGCCCAGCGTTCTGCAGGCGGGGTAGTCACGACACCCCAATTGGAGTAGGGGCAGAGCAGAGCCTCCACCTGTGCCCGAAAGGTGGGCAGATCTGCGACCGACCAGCGGGACAGGCCCAGTGGCCTGCCGGTACGACAGACACGTCACCCCATTTGGAGTAGGGGCAGAGTAGAGCTGCCGCCCGCGCCTGCAGGGTAGGCAAACCTGCAACCGACCGGCGGATCAGGCCCGGTGGCCTGCCGGCGTGGTACACTCGTCACTCCAATTGGAGTAGGGGCAGAACAGAGCCGCCGCCAGCTCCCAGAACAGGCCCAGTGACCTG